AGGCTGAGGGAGCTGGGCTTGTTCAGCCTGGAGAAGAGAAGGCTGAGAGGGGACCTTAGAAATGCTTACAAATATCTGCAGGGTGGGCGTCAGGACGCATCTCTTTCAGACAAACCAAAGCGAGAGGCGAGTTCTACAGGTAACTTTTAATGCAAGTCTCGAAATTTGAGGAGATTCTGGGATTTTTGCCTGCCCAATGCATGACTGCATTTATTTATGTGTATTTTTATCTTCTGCTATACATTTATAGTGGCTACTATTAGTTACCCTTTTCATTCTTCAGTAATAGCACAAATGGTTTATAGTCACGACGCCTCACAACAGCCTCGCTTGCCATTTATGCAGAATTTTAAAAAAATTAAACCTAAATACTTTTTTCCTTTTTTTAATCTTCTGGCAAGTCCTGTTTTTCTCCTCATTCCTTAACAGCTGCGCATCGCGGAACACACCAAAGGCGCCGACAGTCGTGACTAATCCAGACGAAGCTCAAACGAGCTGACAGCAGACGATTTGCTTCGCTTCTCCAGCCGGCTCTTACTCATCCCAGGTATCTCCGTATTTGTTCACTTTAACTAAAGAAAAGAAGAAAAAGGAGTCACACACGACTTCAACTGCAGAAGTTCAGCTTGTACGGCGCCGCGAAGCCCGACGGAAGGCGCTCCGATGTGAGGTGGTGAGCGGGGGCAGCGCCGCTCACAGCGCAGCGGACATCTCCTTACAGCTACTTTCGAATAAACGGGGAGAAGAGTTTATTAATCGTTATTCTGTAATGAATTAACAGTCAAGAGGCCTGCTGTGCTAATCCCTGCTCTGCAGAAGTCGTAATTGCTTCGAAACAAGTGTAAAGTGTGGATGAAACGAAGACAATTGGAGGAAACGGGCAAGGAATGTTATGATAAATCGTGTGGCTACATAATCCAGTTACGTGCACAGCGGGGTGGATCCGGGACAGCTAAAAACCTGCTCAAAGACAAACAAACAAAAATCAGGAATCCTTACTAGGAAACTACTCGGCCGTTATTATTCGGCAGCTTCCTTTGGTACAGGAGTGAGTCAGAGAGAAGAAAAAACAGGGCACTGGTCTCCATGGGTTTATTCCGAGGCACGTGGTGGGTGTGCTGGTGGACGGCAGGGTGACCATGAGCCAGCAGCGTGCCCTGGGTGCCAAGAAGGACAATGGGATCCTGGGGTGCATCAAGAGGAGTGTGGGC